CAGCCACTCATCGTCATAGGGTTAAATACAATACTAATAAAAGGTATAAATCAAAAAGAGTAAAACACACTAATTAAGTACAATGATTATAAAGTCTAAATACAATGGTTATAAAGTCACAAATATCAACGGTTATAAATCAAAAACAAGGGAAAGGCTACCAATAGACTCACTTTTCTCAAAACGGTTCGATGAGATAACCCTTCGCTGCACTGTCTCCGTTACTAAGGTTACAAACTCTATATCAAAAGGTCAAAAAAAACTAAGGCATGGCGGTGTAACCATGCGATCAGCCCATCGCTGCAGTCGACAGCATGATCACGTGAATACCAGGGATGCGTCTCTCGGTTAAAGCATTGCAAAGCGGTAACTAATAAACAATGAAAAAAAAGCTATTAATCAAACTCCTGTCATATACGCTTATAAACTTCAACTGAACTCAAAAGTCGTTAATCTAAACACAACTCATACGGCAACAAAAGCTTGCGTTATCAAACAATACATATATAGGCATATAATCGCGATGGTTATCTGGTAATAAGTTCCAAATCACTGAGCCAAGTTCCGTCCATAACTTCAAATAGGCCTAAACGACGACAGACATAACACAGCAATTCAGCTAATAATCAACTAATTAAGTCGGTCAACAGATACGCAAAAACAAATTCATGACACTACTTACAAGAATGTACCTGATTGGCTACCCAACACTAACACTTAACAGTCAGACCAGTCAGAAAACAGATTGTTTGTGGTCAGTTTTTTTGACGTATTAAATTCTGTATTGTATTACTCAACTCAACTGGCTAAATTAATTAAGTGGCCACACGGAACAAGTCCTCATGCAGTATGTTTCAATTTACATACAGTATTGGTGTTCGTTCGGGAAATGAATCCACAATTTAATTTTATATTATAATTTGGAACAATCAATTTGAAAATTAAAGTTAGGAATGCAAATTAAAGAAAATACATATATATATATATACCATGAAATTCAACAATTATGTTTGCAAATTATAAAAGGCAATATATCGCGCAGGCTAAAAAAACCGTTTGGACACGATGTTGTTCTAAGCTACAGTGTGGCGTAGAATGGCATATGTTAGTGTTGTATAGCTACATTGGAGAAAAAAAAAGAACAGACTTTGGTCAATCGGCAAGTTTACTTAATATGTATTTATGACTTTTCGTATTTCAGGTGGTCGTCGCATTATAACGCACTATTGCAAATGATATCATCATAATGTAACGTCAACACAAACAATTGCACGTATTATATTCGTCAAAAAATCTTAATGTAAAAAGCCTCAACTAGTGTAATATGGTCGATCCATCCCTGAGTTACATAGATCCATGTGGTGATAGCGTTATTTGTATTACATGACAGCGAACTACACAACACGTATATGTAGCAAAATACAAAGTGCAGTACTCCAGTAAATCTGAATGTATCATCATTTTTCTAGAAACATGGAGTAAAGAATACAATGCTGTTTGAGACTATGGTGGTGTTTGAACATAATGCCATACCTTATGTAACTATAATTACTAATTTCAATTTCTAAGGAAATTGACATAAAAACTTATTGTTGGTTAATTGTTTACACTTTATTCTTTCCCTAGATGCTGCTTTTCCATCGGGCCTCAAAGCGTACTGGCCTCTGAATGAAAAGTCACTTACACAAGACGAGTCTGGAAATGGAAATGATGTGTAGTACCGGGCAACATTAGACTCAAATGGTGCTGGCGATATATGCAGTGCCTATCGTTTCCATGGCAATGCCAATTCTTATATTGAATTTCCAAACAACGGTGCATATGATACTCGTTATTCCATCACCATGCTGGCATATGTCTACCCTACTGGTAACAGCGGTCCAATATTCAACTTTAAACGAGACAACTGGGGTGTCCATTTATGGCAAACTGCCCCAACCCAAGAGTTTGTTCGTTTTTGTAATCGTGCTTTGCAGTTTACCAATTACTTAGCTGTCAATGTCCTGAAACACAACGATTGGAATTTCTTTGGAGCTACTTACGATTATAGTAGTGGTATTGCTAAACTGTGGTTGAATGGTGCTGAAGTGGCTAGTCAGAATATTGGTGTAACTGAGATTTCAACTCAATATGAAGCACGTATGGGTGCACGTGTTGGAGATGGAAGATACTTCCAGGGTATGATAACGTGTATGCAAATATATAACAAAGCATTGTCTGCAAGTGAAATGGAACAAGCGCAACAAATGTGTGAAATATGCCCAGGTAAGTCTAATGCAGAGCAAAATTCTATAAACAATATGCATTGCTATATTATAAAGCGCTACAAATGTGTACCATATGCTTAGGTATGAAATACGTTGATAATATAACTTTGGATCATTCTTTCTTGCTAATCCACTGAATAGTGAACAACATTAATCTGGTCAGCTGTCAGTTGAACAATATCAGTATTGTAACTACGTCATGATATACAGTTTCAAGTCAATAACGATGTGAGCTACGTTAGACTAATGGAAGTTTTCAAATTTCTTCTGGTGTCACTAGGACGACACATTAAATCAAGATTAATATTAATGATGTTACAATGTATTTCCCACTCAGCCCAGACCACAACAGCAGCGCCAACTACAAAGAACCCTACCACTGCAGCGCCGACCACTGCAGCACCAACCACTGCAGCACCAACAACTGCCGTACCGACCACGAAACAACCAACCACTGCAGCGCCACCTAGTGAAAACCCAATTACAGTGGAGCCTACAGAGGAACCAACAGAGCAAGGTTTGTAGCCTCAAATAAAGTTTTAAAAAGGAAAAACAAGATTAAAGCAGCCAAAGCTGTAACTGTCGATATTTCTTCTATAATCTATGTCTTAAATTTCTTGTATCATTAGTGCCAATTTCCAACGATCATTGCCGTAATGAGCACTCTGGAAGCATATCATTAATGCTACGTTGCACATTAAATCACTTGCAAGTAAAAAAGATGGCCTAATTGTGTCTATGCAATATGTTGGTCATCTTTATGATCTAAATCGAAATCTAAATCACTGCTATTGTTGCTTTGAATATATGTATAACGCATTCAAACGTATATTTTGTATGAGACGAATAGTGAGTTTAGAATAGAACTACTATAGGACTGCCATTTAGGGATTTATCTTAATATAAGTCCTGTTTTCGAAATTTCAAGTTTTTTGCACATTTACGCATACATGACACCACTAACCAGCCTGATCTGACCCATCTCTAAGATAGTCCTACGAAACAATGAATGCATGTAACACATCATTATCCGATCATTTCTGTGAACCCAATGTTTCAGAATGCGAACTGCCTGAGGGACTTGTCAACGTGGCTAGTAAAGGAATCGCATCACAAAGTTCCAAAAAGGGAGGTGGTAAAGCCGAAAAAGCGATTGACGGAAACAACAGCAGCGACTTTAAACAGAAGTCGTGCTCTAGAACAACACTTGAATCTGATCCATGGTGGAAAGTTGACCTCGGACGGAGTATGGATATTTACAAAGTCACTATCACCAATAGACAAGATTGCTGCGGTAAGTCTGAGCATTCATCGTTTCAGCTGAACGATCTGACAACATTTCTTATTCGGTAACATTTTAAATGTAGAGATAACTCTTAATAATTTTAGTTTGTAATACCGGAGTAATTCCATTGATTGTTGATATGTTTGCATATCTACCCATACAACGTACTGTATATGATAATATATTATTTATATATGAAATGCTACCAAGTAAATTAGACTTGTGCAAATACCATTATGACAGTAGACCTGTTGTTTTGTATTTACAGGTGATCTTGAAAATTCTTAATGCCGAGGTTCATATCGGAGACAGTGAAAACACAGGACAAAATGCCATGTGCGGCGCTAAGATCTCAGACAGTGGAGAGACTATTGACGTCATATGTGATTGTGGGGAGCCAATCACTGGACGCTACGTCAGCATTCAACTGCTTGGTGTAACTGAAGAATTAACAATATGCGAAGTCGAGGTTATGGCTCTTCCATCAAGTGAACCAACCGAGATACGTAAGTGGAATATTACTCGTATTTTAAAGGCGCTGCAATTTGTCAATACGTTTTTCATTATGGCTGCTGGGATCCCATGGAGAAGTCCACGACTGTTCAATTCTCTGCCGTCTTTGTTTCCATTGTTCCTCTGATATATGATATGGTGTTCGGAACAGTGGACTTAAAGTGTAACTGAATTGGGCCAATTGACTTTTTTGTGTGCAAAAAATATTTATAAACAACATTATGAAACAAAATCAAGTGAAAATGGTATATAAATTGGGTAAACAGTCAATGATATTCCAAAACCGGGCCACGCCCCCCTCTCCCGTCACCTTCGAGTTTTTTCGGCATTACGAGTGTTGCCGAAATGGCGCCACCAACGGGGACCATAAAGCAGGAGATTGCTAGCAGACAAGATTGTTAACCATTTTCCATACGCAAGCGTTTAGTAAACCAGCATACAGTACAGTTCTCGCGAAAGCTTTGGCCTTTGTGGCATCATTGTCGCCTACGCATGGCTTCATTGTCGCCCCAGCATCGCATCATTGCGGCATCAGCTTCGTGTCATTGAAAATTGAAG